TTCTTATTCCCATTCTCCCACCCTCCCCCTTCCTTCTCTTTCCTCTAATCCAAACTACTTCCTTCCCTTTCCTCTAATCCAAACTACTTCTATTCTTCCCTACCCACCCCCTTATTGTGAATTAGCATCAACATATCAGAGAAAACATTCGGCCTTTGTTTTTTTGGAATCGGCTTATATCACTTTACTCTCCAGTTTCATCCGTTTACTGGTAAATGCCATAGTTCATTCTTCTTTATGGCTGAGTAATAATTCCAATGTGTATATACACTACATTTTCTTTATCCATTCATCTTTTGAAGGGCACCTAGGCTGATTCCATAATTTAGCTAGTGTGAATTGAGCTGCTATAAACATTAATATGGCTGTGTCACTGTGGTGTGCTGATTTTAAGTCTTTGGGTATAAACTGAGAAATAGCATAACTGGGTCAAATGGTGGTTCCATTCTAACAAACTTCCAAATATTGCAAGAATAAAACACTCTGCAAAAAATAGCAAAAAAAAAAAAAAAAATTAAAAACACTCTCAGTCCTCTCAGTGAGAATAACATAGCTAATTTTATATAATGCTTATCAAATGTCAGACACTGGTTTTAAAGACTTTACATGTAATTCACTTAATCCTTGCAACAATATATAAAGGTAAATAATATAATCCTTGTTTTATAGATAAGGAAACTGATTCTCAAAGAAGCTAAATAACCTATCCTAAGTCATCATAACAAGTGGCATAACTGAAATTTGAACTCTGATTCCAAAATCAGAGCACTTAGCCAACATTTAATGCAGCCTCTTTGAAACAAGATAATGTGAACTGGTCAATTTTTGCCTCAAGATATTGTAAATACATGCTGCCGTAATTAATGCATTAGAGATTTCCTTCCAACAAGTTATGCCAGAGGTCACAGACTTTGATCAACAGCACAGACTGGATGACATCTTGGAAATACTGACAAGAAGTATGTTTTCTCTTTTCTACCCTCCTTCTCATAGTTTGTGCTATGTTATTTGGGTCTGGATTTTGCCAAACGTAAGGTCATTATTTTGTGTGAAATGGCCACATTTGCTTCTATTCACTTCTGTCTGAATGTTCTGTGAGTGGTGTTGATGTTGCAATAATTGTTTATTTGTTTGGACATAAGGCCCATGAAAAAGTTGTGTAGACCTAATTCAACTTTTGAGGTCCTGTGAGATGACACCCACTCCAGGAGCCCAGACAGCCACAGCTGGAGGAATTCCAGCTCAAATCAAGCATCCAGAAGCCATCTGGCTGACACTGAGAAAAATAAACATTAAGAAGGACTTCAAATTCTTTGCACTTTAACTTGAGGTGTTTGAACTTTTATTAGATTTTAACTCATAAAGGTAAGATTATGGGATATTGGATTTACTTCTGTATAAATACTTTATAAATACTGTGTAAATACTTAAATACTTCAGATTTTAATTTCCTTGGGATTTTAACCTTTGAATTTTAATTTCTCTACAAAAGTTGATAATGGGCATGAGTTAACATTTAAATTCAGGTTATCACTATTTTATTGGAATGTTATAAATGAAACATGTTACTCCCGTAATTTCATTTTATTGCAGAATCTCTAAAGAACTTATCAGAAAACTTATAGCTATTTTTAGATAGAGTTGTTAGACATAATTTGGAGTGGAAAATTAAATGGAAAGTGAATATTCAGGGCAACAAATAATGGCCTTGGAGCTGATTTAATTCATGTACCATTCTAACTCATTTCAGAATCACTGGGGTAAACTTTACACTACCTTCTATGATCTAGAAGGATCCACAAAAGAGCAGGATTATTGGAATGGAAGACTCATAAGGGTCCTAAGAGACCCCAAGAGTAAGAGTGACTCAACTGGTTCTCCCCAGTAAAATAGCCAAGGAAATTAAGAGATCAAGTTGGGAAATATTAGGAAGAATAGGAGTGTTATTAAACAACAACTACAAAAATGCAACACTCTCTACATTAGTTTTGCCACTATTAAAATCTTCTATAACATCAAATAGCTTTGTATGATTAGTAAACAGGGGAATGATGGCAGAATGATATGGAAGTTTGGCAAATATATGTTTTTTTTTCCTAAGCAAACAAAGCTAAAAAGAGTAGCAGTATATTTTTATTTTTTAGCTTGATGGCTGCACTGGAGTTCCCAGCTCAGAGAGATCCACCCCTGGCCTTACATGACTATCTGTGGGAGTTTCACTTCCTTCTGTGCCTTTCTTCAAAGAAGCCCCACTGGCCCCAACCTCCATTTAACTTTCATCTGTATTGTCTCACTCTGCACTGTTTTTGTGCAGCACTAATTTCCTCTGAAGCAGCATTCTGAGATGCCTGCCCAGGCTGTTTACATTATCTCTTAAGTTAATAATTATTCTTTTAGTTACTGTTCTGGTTTTAAAGGTGCATAGAATTTGAATAGTCTTCCCAGCCCCATTTCTCCCATACCTCTGTTATTTGGTGGGGGTGGTGGGGGTGTGACTTTGAGGATACATTATTAGCACACACATTATGTACTAGCATGTTGGCTATAGGAATCTGATATCTACACAATAGCTGATTCCTTTCTGTACTTGAAAGGACAGATCTATACAGGAATCATGACAAAAGAACTTTCTCACATGTTACAATATAAATTGCTTTGCTAAAATCATGTAGGGTTTGGAAATCTAAATACATAAGCAATTTGCAAATCCTGTGGATTATTTTAAGGTTTTACTAGACTTGAAAAAGTAAAAGAAATTTAATATTGAGGAAAAAATGTGCTCATTTCTCATAGCATAGGAGGAAAAATTGTAAGTGTACCTAATTCCCAAAAAGAAGGAACAGAAGAAAAAAATTTACTTTTATTTTTTATATCTGTTGCTTTTAGTTCTTAGTACAATTATACTTCTAATTTGTGCTCACAGATTTAAAATAATTGGTTTGACCTTAACGTGAGACATTATTAAATGACTTTTTTTCAGTTCTGATATGAGGCAAGCAAAAAACCCAAGTTATATATTAAATCAAAAAAAGTATCGGTATTTATTTATTTAATTAATTAATTTAAAAGATAACTCATCTAACATTTTACCTTTCCTAAGTTAAGTTCAGAAGACCATAAAAGTTTACAGACTCCAATAATTTGTTGAAAAAAATCATAATAACAAACAAAAAAAAGAAATTTAAAACCTAATATTAAGTGACGAGCGTGGTACAGACTGGAAGTTCCTCCAATAGGATTAGCTTCTTTAAGTATTTTAAGTCCAGTGAACTTGTAATACTTCCACGTGTTAGTAACTGCATAGGCTAATTTCAACTGGCATAAGCTTTTATAAGTATGCAAAAACACAGGGCAAGGCATGCATTAAAATGTGATAATAGCACACTTCTGGGATATGTGAAGCATGAGACATGAATCTGAATGCCTCTGGCACCTATGAAGTATCATGCCTCAGAACTGGTGCTTTTCTGTTTTGATAAGTAATTCTGTGATACCATTTAGAAGGGGGAAAGCCAGCTTTATAAATATAAATCTTTAATCTTAACCAAGATTATATAGTTAAATTCTAGCAGTTTATTCAAATACAATTTTTAAATTCCAGGTATTCTGGAAATAATTTAAAACCAGACAGGGTTTTAAGAAAATGTATTGGTTATTTTTTATCAATGTAAGTATAGGAGTAAATATTATTAATCTTACAAAAAAGTTAGCCAGAATGATGGAAGAAGAAACATAAAGGAATTAAAAAATCAATTTTGGTAATATTCTTACCACTCCAAAAAATGAACATAAGGAAGGATTCCTTGTGCTACATATGTATTACAGGTACATAACTTTATCTAACATCTTCAGATAAAAATTTTTAATAAAATGAAACTAATTATGATATATAATATAAGAAAAGATGTACATATATTAATATAGCACTATGAATTTCACCTTTTATTTATATCTACAAAGCATTAATTTAAAAAATAATAAATAAATAGAAGGAAGACCAGCAGGCTAGAGGAAGGGGAACAGGAGGAGGAGAGCAGAAAAGGAAGTACTGGGGACTGAAATTGAACAAAATCATATTCCCTGCATTCATGATTCTATCAAAATGAACCTCAACATTACATTTATCTATAATGCACTAATAAAACATTTTTAAATAACTAAAAATATATCTACTTTCTAAGTGCACACACACACACATACATAATCCTTTACTCCAAAAAATGGAAGTTATAAACAATAAGTATCAAAATGTCACAGTTATCATTCAATAAGTATTAATTAAGGGTGACAAATCAAGGGCATAGCCTTACTTTTATATAGCACAAGAGAAAAAACTGGAAACAAATGAAGGTATGTGATACTGGCACATCCCCAAATCAGTATAGCTGACTGGACCTAATCTTACAGTTGAAGACGTGTTATTTAATATTTCAACCCTCCTCAGGCATGGATTTAAAGTTTAGGTGAAGTTATGGGACTATCCTAATAGCACATATAAACTCACAAATGTGGAATTCATGGTATTTTTGGTTTTAGGGAACAAAATCAGTTTCTTTAGAGATACCATAAGTAAATGTCACCTCCTGACAAAGACATACAATGAAAGTGTTTTAAAGCACATTACATAACCTTTAAACAACCTCTAGAAAGTTGACCAAAACATTTTAAAAATCTTAATATAAGCATATTATAGTACAACTTCTCTTTAGAAAGCTGTATCCCATATAATTTGGCTGTCATATTATGAAAATGTAACAATTATTTTGTTTTCTTAGTTGTGACTTAGTAAGGTTAAAATTCTAATGAACTTTTTTTTTTTAATTCAAATTTGTGCCAAGATAAAAGGTTCTTAAAATCTTAGTTCCCCATATATAAGAATACTATATTTGTCCATGTCAAACAGTTTTATTATATCTGTTTTCCTTTTAATTGTTTAAAGTAAAACCAAAATTGTATAAATACCTTTCAAAATATTATCATATAGTTTACTAAAATCTTACCTTTGGAAAAATCTTCAATTTTTCTGCCATATATATCATAAAGATATCTTGCGGGTGAGTCTAGATTCATTCTCATTGTGCAAGTATCTAAAACCTATACAGGAAAAAAAATCAATAAATAATGTATTACAGTAATCTCTGGTTAAATTGAATATACATTTATAGTTCTTTCTATACTATAAAGCTATTAAAATTATATTGTAAAATAAATTCCAATGATTTATAAAATGCTTCTAATGTATGAAGTTTAAAAATGTGATTAAAATTGTCAGATAATTCTACTTCAAAATACACAAGTATTAATAAGAAAGAAAAAATAGAGAAGGAAGGAATCATGCAAAAAATATTAAAATACAGATTACCATTCAATAAATAGTAAAACTTTAGAACACTAAAAAACTTTATATTATTCTTGATACTTTCCATATTTTCTATATTTGTATATTTTCCATTTACTTTACAGAGAGAATATTTATATTCAAATTAGATTTTAAGGTACTTTCTTTAGCTTTTAAATTCTTTCTAGGAACTTGTTCAAGCATACCATCTAAGCTCACTCTATTCATTCTTTCTCATTTTATGGGTAACTTTTGTTGCACGTAGCTTACAAAACCCTAACTCTGGGTGAACTTTTCCTTCCATTCCCTGTGCACCTTTCAGTCCCTATGAGAAACTTGCTACTGCTTGAGAAAATCACATAACTGAAGACATGAGCATTAATTTTATTCATCATTAACCTCCCTAGTCACTTCTGTTACATTTCTTTTTTTTTCTTATTTTTAAATTGATGGACACAATACTTTTATTTTTTTTCTATTTTTATGTGATGCTAAGGATTGAACCCAGTGCCTCAAACATAATAGGCAAGTGCTCTACCACTGAGCCACAACCCTGGCCCTCTGTTATAATTCTCTACCACTTTCTGAAATGAGCATTTCCAAACCATCTTCAATCTGATATCTCTACCTTCCTTAATTCCTTTTTCACTTTCAGCAGCAAAGAGTATGAACAAGAGAAAATTGAAGCTTCATCATCTCGTTATCAAGGCTACAAGCCTACCTACTTATGCATCCATCCTCTCTTTTATCTCTAGTTATATTACAAGGGGTTCCTCACTCCTATCTAATGTCAATATTCTACAGTACTTTAAATTATGTTTGCCCTGGTTTTAAAGTAGTATAAATTATCTATCATTTCTTCTCTCTCAAGTATTTTCAAACACTCCTTAACTAGATTTTTCCAACTGACTCTCAAACATAATCAAGTCTTTCCTATATAAAAATTAAATCCCTCCATCACATCACATCTCCCTCGAGCTACTCTTCCCCTTCACAGTGAAATGTCTTTAAAGAGTTGTTCATGCACACTGTTTCCATTTCCTTTCTTCCCATTCTTTCTCAGAACATTCAAGTCTGGCTTTCTTGCCATCACTTTTCTGAAATAATCTAACAAGATTACCAATGAGTATCAGGTTGATCAATCCAAGGATATTTTCTTAATTCTCAATTCTTTTGAACTTTGAGCAAATGCTCAAATGAACATTTTCTATTTCTTTAAATCATTTCCCTTGAATTCTGAGATAAAAGAATCCACTAATCCTTCTCTTGGTTTTTTTCTGTCCTGTTCATAGGTACATGCCCTCCAGGACTAGAATTGCTCAAGTTCTAGACCTTTTTCTTCTTCGCTCTACTTTCTCTCTTAAGGTAATCTAAACCGAGCCCCAATGTTTCATCTTCCCTCTATGTACTGACAACTCCCAAATGGATATATACACTCCCAGGGGTTCTTCTAACTCCTGGTTATGTAATACATACCCAATATTTCCACTTCAACAGATTAAAGATACTTCAATGTGAATAGGTACAATATTCAGTTCCTGTTTCATCTCCTCCTGGCTACTCTTCTAGCATTCTGTGTCTTAGGAAAAGGAACCTCTCTTCATCAAAATGAACAAACCAGAAACTTCAAAATTGTCATTAATACCCTTAACACTTCATTGTCAGAGCCTGCTTACTTTGTCTTCTAAAAATCTTACCAATCCATATACTTTTCTCAATTTCCACTACTATATCCTGTTCCAAGCCATTACCACCTATAGGTAGAACTCCTACAGTAAGCTAATAGTCTCCCTACCTCTGTTCTTGCCCATTCAACTTGTTCTCCACCAAGCACTAAAGTCACCTATTCAAAATTATAAATCTGGTTACACTCCATAACACTCCTAAGTAAAACTCATTACAGGATTTCTCAGTGCTCTCAGAGAAAAAGGCAGAAAAAAATCTGTGACCTTTCTTACAAAGCCACTCTTTCCTTCATTTATCAGCCTCTCAATCCCTGGAATTCATCCTATCCACTCTTGCCATGGAGCCTTTCTGTTTGCTGTGTTCTCTGTTTGAAATGTTTCTCTAGCTTCACTATCCCCCACGTGTTCCCACGTAAGTCCTGTTTATCTTTTCTCAGTAGGCTTTCCTAGGCCACCTATTCCATGTTTAGTAATGTAATCATTTTACCACTGTCCCACAACTAGAATGAAAACAGCTTTGCTCACCGGTAAATCCAAGTACTGGTAGATGTCAATAGTCATAAAAATATTTTATGTTAATGAAAAAACAAAGGTCAATACGTATTATTTCTAATATATGATCTCATTTCATAATTAATGTCCTACTTTGATTCTAGTAAAATAATAAAATGTATGAACAATTTTACAAGATTATCCTAAAATTAAACAATGCATAATTTCAGAAGACTTTTTTTTTCAAAAAGATCTAATATTTTTAGTACCAGAACACTGACCTTAAATTACTTTTAGGAAATAAAATAAGAAAACCTTTTCATATTTATATCAATATTGCTGGTTGTCTACCAGATATGCTATACCTCATTCCTGTTATACAGTACTGATTTTTTTTAAGGGCTTATCCTTCCTGCTTTTGACTCAAGGAAGATTACAGTTATCTTGTTAGTGAATGGCTTGGGGATGGATACATAATCCAGTTTGGTCAATGAGACACCATTAGGGGCTTCTGGGAAAAGCTTCTTCATTCATATGAAAGAGATGGTCCAGCTGTGGAGTAGCAATCTTTTACCAATATATGAAAAATGCAAAATTCAGAGAACACAGCTAGAATCCTATCACTGTACTTGAAGATGCCCTACTTCTGAATTTCTTGGTTGCTTTTCCCTTAGCCATTTGAATCAGAATATTCTTTCATTTGAGTTAAAGTCATACTGATAGGAAAAAAAATATGTTGGCCTATGTTGCTCAAATGATGCAAACTGATTTAGCTAATTCATTGAGTATTGTGCAGCAAATAGATTACTACATTTACCATATAAACCTAAAGAAGGAAATATTTAATTAGGAACTGAGGGAAGAAATTTAGAATAAATTTGGCAAGGTGAAAATGAATGAATAATTATGAAATTCATTCTTTTACTAAAAATATTTCACCTTTTGCAATTAGTTGTACTTGTTTAGTGGAACAGAACTACAACATATCATGAATATTTTGAGAAAGAAAATCTATTTATTTTTTTCCCAAATGAAAGATGATCAAATAGGCTTGAATTTTTCAAGAACTAAAATTCATTAGATAACCCAAATCTCTGCTGAGGCCAACATTTTATAACTTAGAGTTAGAATTATTTATCCTTATTTTAACCTAAAGATACCAAGAGATTGGGTTGAATCTGTACCTACCTTATTAAGTGGCTTATAGGTACTTTTCTGAATAAATCTTGGAGATAAATTTGCTGGCTTTTTGTCTTATTCTCAGAAAGGTAGGTGATAGAATAAATAATCTAGTTATTTGTTCTTACTAGTAATGAACATGACTGACACTTATAAAAGCAATTATTTCTTGTAAATTTGTCTTCTGTTATATTCTGGTATTTTACATTATAAAGTAAATGAAAAGTATATAAATGGAGGTTTTCTAAGCAATCTATTAATGCATAATTCTTGGAATACTTTACCTTAATTGATCTCTTCTTAAGGATAATTGTCCAGATTACACTTCTAATTATATTGCTATTTTTGTTAGATTTTAAATATCTACTCTACTGGTGTTTAGTTGATAGGAAATAAACTGTACCTATTTTAAGTGTGAAGTGTGATGCATGTAGAAAAATATTTGTCCCTGTGTAACAACCACTACCATCAAGATATAGAATACTGCCATACCCTTCAAATTCCTCAGGCTCCTTTCCAATCAGAACTTAATAACTGGTCCCAGGCCACCAACAGTCTCTTTCCTATACTAGAGAATAGTTTTATCTATTCAACAATTTCATAGTATTTAATATTTTGTAACTGGCTCCTTCGTTTTCTACATATTTATTCCTTTTTATTGTTGAAGAGCATTCCTTGGCATGGATATATCATAATTTTTATTCACCAGTTGATATAGTTTTGGATTGTTTCTAGTTTGGGCTATTAAAAATAAAGCTACTATGAACATTCACTTAGAAATGTTTGTGTTGATATGTTATTTCTCTTGCTATATGTCTAGAAATTGGACTACTACATTGTTTGGTAAGTATATATTTAACTTAATTGGAAACGAAACTATTAAGTTTTGCAAAGTGTCTGTATCATTTTTAATTTTCATCAGCCAAATGAGATTTCCCATTTCATCAACACATGGTATTGTCAAGTCTTTTTAATTTTAGCGATTCTAATGTTTGTGTAGTGGTAACCCATTGTGAATTGCTGAGAGCCATAGCCAAGTAGGAATGACACATGGCATTTTTGGCTGAAAGGTAATGCCAGCAAGCCATTGAGGTGATAATGATTATGTTAATATGTGCATTCAATTGGAGTTTAGACCCCTGCTGTCCCCCTCTGCCTGCCATTTTGGAGCTCTCACGGGACTCCTGGAGAGTTCCCATTGGTTGGGGAAGTGCGGTAGGAGGGAATTCCGGAGGAGGGATTTCGTGTTGGTGTAGTGTGTCCCGGGAGAAGGCCGTATGCGTGGCATTCGCGGGAGTTTTGGAAATAAAGTTTGTTCCTGCTTGAGTGGCTCGTGATTTTGTGCCCAGCCAGGCTGCGGCAGTGAATTTAATGTGCATTTCTTTAATGATTAATAGTAT